AAAAATATAAAATAATGAAATAAACTATATGGTGCAAAGAATATTCATCTCGTATTTGAAAAATGTTTATGGGACAAAAGAAGAATGTTTATGTGTTAAAAAATGATCATACATATCTGGATATGTGTTCGTATACTTTCGGGAACTGTTTGCGTGGTTACCCAAACAATATTTCATGTATTAAGAAAATAAAAATGAAACACGAATGAAAATATAAAAATGAGAAAAAGGATAACAAACAAGTAAAAATGGAGAATGGAAGAAAAAACACGTCATGGGCCAACCAATATAGAGAACATTTGATGTCGTTATAGTGACAATTCCATATATTTCATGTCCCGGTCTCCATGGAGCCCGGTGTGTTGCAAAAATTGAAACTGTCATTTAAAAGATTCAAAAAAGGTGCAAAAATATATGCATGTTCTCTAGGTATGCATAAAGTTTCATATAAAATAAGAAAGTAAATTGTAGGCTACAAAAAGGACAAAAAACGACCCAAAACAACAAAATACATGCACATTTTGGTTCATGTATTTGTTTTATTTGTATATGTCGCTTATAGATACATATTCTTGTGAAAATCCGCACACATACGTATATACATGTACAAAAAATGAGTTTTTTTTTGGTACAAAAAATATCTTTTCAAAAGAAAGAAAAAGGCACACTCCATGGAGCCCGGCCACCAAAGTGCATTATCACAATTGCACGCACTCCGGGACTTCGCATGGAATAGGACTTACTGATGCCTCCAAAAAAAAGCAATGACGAAAAAATGTACTATGTGTCAAGTTCTAAGTAACAAAAGTCATGGGCACTACAGCGGTACTGCGATTGTACCAAAAATTGTGGATGTCCAACTCGGCACCGGCATCTTTCATTTGAAATGGAACAGTAGTGTTCGGTGGTTAATTTAGCGTTCAACTTGCTTTTCTTTGCACAAATTGTTATGCTTCGACTTTTCCCATAAACATTTACGGAAAACATGTGTACATAAACATTCATGTATCAAAAGTATTATATATCTTTTAACATTTACAAAAACATTTTGGACATGAAGGAGCAAATGCTCTCCAGAGCCAAATTAGATAATAGTTCCTATGAACACAAGCAACACAAAAAGGCAAAAAATCCATCCCTTGTAAAAAAAAAAGAACACAAAAGCATCTACATATTAATATAAAACTTCATCCCCAAAAGAAAATCAATATAAAACTAACCCCGGCTGTCAAACAAGGTCAATCCAACGATATATACTGCTACAATGGTGAAAACTCAACATGCTTAGCGTGAAATTAATTCCATACCAAATAAAGCGTTATTCTAAAGCGTTATTCACACAATTAATATACAAATAATATCCTATTTAATATCCGCGTGCAATTTAATGTACTATCTAATATTATTGCACGTACACAGACACATTTACTAGTGCACACTATCCCTGTTTGATAGCAAAGTATTTTCTAAGTTTTTTGTGAATACTACAGTTTTTTAGATTACTATGGGTTTTTTTACAATGAGTTGTTTGATTGCCCCTAAAAACTATAGTTTTAATACTACGATATTGGCCAAATTGTTGTTTTTTCTCTGCATGAAAAAACGAACCCAAGACCTCTCTTTTTTTTACTGAGCAACCGAAAAGAACAGTGCAATGCGTCGAGCTTGGGCGAGCGGTTCAGTTTGTTCAGCTCTATGACGCGGTGAAGTTGCTGCCGGCTACCCCATGCCCCCAGGTGTCCTAGGATGACGTAGGCGGGTTGTAAGCCTTTAAATATTATATTTTGAATGAGTTGGAGGAGAGAGAGGAGGAAAGAGAAGGGAAGCGGGCTATTGATTATCAGCCGGCTGCAACACGCGCCCCTAGATATGTTGTGAGAGAGTGAGGTAGACCACGTATAAAAAAAGTACATATTTATATGCAACTATTATACTTACCTGCTATAAGGCGTGCCCTCCACCCTCGTGGAGCCCTCGTGTCCTTTCCGGACTGCTTCTTATTTTTTTATTATTCTAAATATTCCAAAATGGAAAAAAATTGCCATTAAAACTGTTTTGAGGTTGGTTTACTTACCGTACCACATACCTATTCTTTTTTGGAGTCTGAAACGTTTCGGAAAGTGTCCCTTATGTATTCCTCCGGGGTTACGGTTTCAATAACATTGGTTTCAACATTTATAGGATTATCTGAGATATAATGTTTGATTCTTTGACCGTTCACCATCTTTGGATTTGTGCCTTTCGAAGTTGTTGATTTTTATGGCACCGGAACGATAGACCTCCTCGATAACGTAAGGACCTTCCCATTTAGAGATAAGGTTTCCTGCAAAAAAATCTTAAACAAGAGTTGTATAGCAATACATAATCACCTACATTAAACTCACGCTTTTGTATCCTTTTGTCATGCCATCTTTTAACTTTTTCTTTAAACAATTTGGCATTCTCATAGGCTTGGGTTCTCCATTCATCAAGTGAGCTAATGTCAAATAACCTCTTCTCACCGGCAAGTTTGAAATCATAATTGAGCTCTTTAATAGCCCAATATGCCTTATGTTCTAGTTCGAGAGGTAAGTGACACGTTTTTCCATAAACCATTTTATACGGAGACATACCCATAGGGTTTTTATATGCAGTTTTATAGGCCCATAATGCATCATCAAGTTTCTTGGACCAATTCTTTCTAGATCTATTAACAGTCTTTTGCAAAATTAATTTGAGTTCTCTATTACTCAATTCTACTTGACCACTAGACTGTGGGTGATAAGGAGATGCAATTCTATGATTAACATCATACTTAGCAAGCATTTTACGGAAAGCACCATGAATAAAATGTGAACCACCATCAGTCATTAAATATCTAGGGACCCCAAACCTCGAAAAATAACTTCTTTAAGCATCTTAATAGAGGTGTTATGATCAGCACTATTAGTTGGAATAGCTTCTACCCACTTAGTAATATAATCAACAGCAACTAAAATATGTGTGTATCCATTGGAGGCAGGAAAAGGTCACATATAATCAAAGCCCCAAACATCAAATGGTTCAATAACAAGTGAATAATTCATAGGCATTTCTTGACGTCTACTAATATTACCAATTCTTTGACATTCATCACAAGATACAACAAACTTACGGGCATCCTTGAAGAGTGTAGGCCAATAAAAACCGGATTGCAATACCTTATGTGCAGTTCTATCTCCAGCGTGGTGTCCTCCATAAGCTTTGGAGTGACACTTGCATAGGATTTGTTCCTGTTCATGCTCAGGTACACAACACCTAATAACACCATCTACTCCTTCTTTATAGAGATGTGGGTCATCCCAAAAGTAATGTCTTAAATCATAAAAAAAACTTTTTCTTTTGCTGGTATGTGAAACTAGGTGGTATAAATTAAGCAACAATATAATTAGCATAATCAGCATGCCATGGAGCAGTATGAGAAGCGTTTATGACATTTAATTGTTCATCAGGAAAGCTATCATCAATAGATAGTGGGTCATCTAGAACATTTTCTAACCTAGACAAGTTATCTTCAACGGGGTTCTCAGCTCCCTTTCTATCAATAATATGCAAATCAAAATTTTGTAGCAAAAGAACCCATCTAATAAGTCTAGGTTTAGCATCTTTCTTTTCCATAAGATATTTAATAGCAGCATGATCAGTATGAATAGTTACTTTAGAATCAACAATATAAGGTCTGAACTTATCACAAGCAAATACAACTGCTAAGAATTCTTTTTCAGTTGTAGCATAATTTCTTTGTGCATTGTCTAGAGTTTTACTAGCATATTGAATGATATTTAATTTCTTATCAACTCTTCGCCCTAGAACATCACCTACATCATAATCACTAGCATCACACATAATTTCAAAAGGTAAATTCCAATCAGGTGGCTGAACAATAGGTGCAGAGATTAATGCTTTCTTGAGTATTTCAAAGGCTTCTACAAAATCATCATCAAAAACAAATGGTATATCTTTTTGTAATAAATTAGTCAGAGGCCGAGAAATTTTTGAGAAGTCCTTAATGAACCTCCTATAAAAACCGGTGTGACCAAGGAAACTTCTTATACCTTTGATGTCCTTGGGACATGCCATCTTTTCAATAGCATCAACCTTAGCTTTATCAACTTCAATACCTCTTTCAGAAACTTTATGCCCCAAGACAATACCTTCATTAACCATAAAGTGGCACTTCTCCCAATTCAAGACAAGGTTAGTTTCTTCACATCTCTGCAAAACTCGATCAAGGTTGCTTAAGCAATCATCAAAAGAGGATCCATAGAGGGAGAAATCGTCC